TGAAATTTATGTTGTCAAATACTAGTATGGCCACCCCAGCTTTATTGAAGGAGCTGTTTTCTTGCATGATTGTTTTCCATACTTTAACTTTGAGTCTGTGTTTGCTCTGCCTGTTCAGATGAGTTTCTTGTAGACAGAAGAATATTGGTTTCTGTTTCTGGATCCATTTTGACACTGTGTCTCTTGGTTGGTACATTTAGACCATTTACATTGAGAGAGATTATTGTCATGGGGTTTTGTGTCATATTTTTGTAGGGGTTGGTTGTGTTTATAAGTGTTTTCCTTCATATCTTACAGGAGCGCCTTTAATCTTTTTAGATTTGGTTTTGAATCTATGAAGTTCCTGAACTGTTGTGTATCTACAAAATGGTGTATCATAAATGGTGTATCGTTCCATCGAGTTTGAGTGAGAGTTTAGCTGGATAAAGTATTCTTGGTGAGGCGTTCAGTTCATTGATTTTTTTTTCACTATACCCCACCATTGTCTTCGGGCTTGGAGGATTTCCTCTGATAGGTCTGCTGTAAATCTAAGGGGTGCTCCTTTGTATGTGATTTCCTTCTTTGACCTTGCTGCTTGCAGTATTGTGTCTCTGTCCACAGCATCCATCATTCTGACTATGATATGCCTTGGAGTGTTTTTATTATGGTCTCTTTTAGCTGGCATTGTTTTGGCTCCTTGGATCTGGATGCCTGCATTCTCTAACTCTGGGAACTTTTCAGCAATGATTTATTTGACTGTAGCTTTTTCATTGGGGTTGTCTCCCTGTCCTTCTGGTACTCCAATGATTCTAATGTTGTTCCTCTTGGCATCATTCCCTAGGTCTCTGATTCTCCTTAGAGCTATTTTGAGGTATTTTCCCATTGTTTGTTGTTCCCTATGCAATTTCTGTCATTCATCCTCAAGCTCATTGATCCTATCTTCAGCTGTATTCACCCTATTGCTGAGGGCACCTACTGAGTTTTTAATTTCGTCTACTGAATCCTTTACTTGTGACACTTCTTTTTGTAGCTTTCGTATTTCTGCTCTCATTTCTTCCTGTATTTTCTCAAATGTCCAGTCTATTGTTTCTTTCATTTCTTCCTTTAGTTTTCTGGATATCTCCTCCATTGATTCTTTGAGTAGTTCCTTGACCATCCTCTGCATTTCATCTTGGAATTCTTTTTCGGAGAGAGCATATTTGTGGATAACCCCAGTTGAGGATTCAGGACTCTTTTCTCCGTCCTCTCCTTGTAGTGGAGATTTGCGCTGTTTCTTCATATTGTTTTGGTTGTCTAGAGGTAAAACCCTGGAATTCACTAGCACTGTTCCCTCTTATCGTGGGAAAGGGTTCTGGATAAGGTCTTTCGATGGTGGTCACCCTTCTCCCTTTCTAGAATCTGACCTTCCTCTCAGGCATTATTCTTTGTCTTATGATGGGCATCTAGTGAAGCTTTGGAGGAGGTGCTCTTTAATATTGGACTTGTACAGCTTCTTGCATACTGGTCTTTTGTTACAATTGGAGTAGGCCAGTGGATTATTGTTGCAGTACAGTTTAGGTGTCCAGGATTTTTTCCACAGAATTAGGTGATAAAGGCTGGGATGAGAGTCAAGAGTGCTGGGAGTGGGAAATGTAACTGCAGCTCCAGCCTCTGAGAAGGCCATGGCCACTTTGGGGGAAGCCACGCCCCCTACAAGGAGGCCACGCCCACCGCCTGTCTCAGGGACACTCCCATCCAGGAACCTGGAAGTGCGGGCCAGAAGAGGTGGATGGGAAGACCAGAGGAACTTGTGCAGGTGTTCCCCAAAGTCTCCTCTGGCTGCCCAGTGAAGGGGGTCCAGAGCAATGGAAAAAGGGGGTGCAAGTGGTGTGCATGAAAAGGACGAAGCAAAAGCCATTTTTTAAAAAAAAATGTACACGGTATAAATGTATAAGTTTTCTGGTGATTTTCACTAAGGCTTTGATATATCTTCATTTTGTTTGACGCAGATATATCACTTATTTTTCTCATTTTGAAACTAAGCTATATTCCACTCACCAATAATTCATCTCTCATTCTATCAGAGAATCTCTACAAAAGCAGTATTTTAAGGAAAATCAGTTCTGAAGGATCTTTTATGAATATGCATAATGCAGAAGACCCCAATTAAATTTCCAACAAAGCATTGCCATTTTGAGTAAACAAAGCCATTTCAGTAGGGGCACACGATTTGCAAGAATTGCAGTCTAGAAATTAATTACTAGTGTGACATATGTCAAAACAAAATTTTTAAAGAAAAGAATGCTGTTATAACCATGTATTTTATCTATTTGTTTGCATGCAAAGTTAGTATTCTCTGGTGCTCCAATATATTCATTTATTCAGCAACTCCTTTTTTTTAATTTTTATTAGTGAAACACCATGAGGTAGATGTAGACTTACAAATTTTTATGCTTGGGTTTCAGTTATACAATGATCGAGTACCCATCCCTCCACCAGTGCCCATTCTCCACCACCAATGTTCCCAGTATCCCTCTCACCCCCCATTCCCCCATCCCACTCCACCTCTGTGGCAGAGCATTCCTTTTTGTTCTCTCTCTCGTTTTGGGTGCTGTGGTTTGCAAAAGAGGCATTGAATGGCAATCATGTTCTGTCTATAGTCTACTTTAAGCATGTATCTCCCATCCTGGAGGATCCTCCCAACGCCCTTTATTTAGTGCTCCTTTCTCTATCTGAGCTGCCTCTTCCTCTAGCATGTATTCAGCAACTCTTAAGAAAGTAAAGAAGGTTCATTGGCCCTCCTCCCTTTTCCTGCACCCAGGTGTAAGCTACATAAATAATGCTTGTGAGTCAGAAAATATGTACAGAATGAAGATATAGTACAGGTGATATTTTGAAAGGCAGAAGTCATCTTCACACATAGAACTAATTTTGAAATTAGTTCTATCTTCAAATGAAAATTTTCAAAGATCTATATCAGCTCCACCATGCAACACAAAAGGTTGTGGAATTCAAAGTTTTAAATAGCAGGTACCCTTGCTAGTGTTTCAAAAAGAAGATCTGTACTCTATAGTAAAAAAAAAAATTCACAACCACCGGGAAATAAAATGAGGGGTTTTGAATTTCGATATTCTGCTAACAGATATTTATTTATTTTTTAATTTTTATTAGTGAAACACGATGAGGTACAGTTGTAGACTTACAAATTTTTGTGCTTGGGTTTCAGTTATACAATTATCAAATACCAATCCCTCCACCAGTGCCCACTTTCCACCACCACGGAACCCAGTATCCCTCCCACTCCCCATCCCCCCCCATCCCACCCTGACTGTGTGGCAGGGCATTCCCTTTTGTTTTCTCTCTCTCCTTTTGGGTGTTGTGATTTGCAAAAGAGGCATTGAGTGGCAATCATGTTTGGTCTATAGTCTACTTTCAGCATGCTTCTCCCATCCTGGGAGGATCCTCCCAACACCCTTTATTTGGTGCTCCCTTCTCTGAGTTCCCTTTTCCCCTAGCATGTGTGGCTGGCCTCCAGGCCATGGAGCAAAATTCCTGGTACTAATCTCGGCCACTCTTGGGTGTTAGTCTCCTATTTTGTTACTTTATGTTCCCAGACAAATACAATCTTTCTATGTCTATCCCTCTCTTTCTGACCCATTTCGCTTAACATGATACTACTGAAACCATTTGTATACAAGAAAATGAAATGTGTTTCATAGAGACTTCCAAATAGAAAAGCAAAACGAAACGAAAAACTCAAAAGATATGATGCAGATGTATACATACCCTTTTCCCATCAAATGGATTTAATAGAGACTCCCAAATAGAAAATCAAAAATCAACCAAGATATGATGCAGATGCATGCATATCCTCTTCCCAATCTAGAAATACAGCAAGTCATTACACTGTGCTTTAAATCTCTAACTTATGTGTCTGTTGTAGCTCTATAAAGCTGGGGTGAGGGTATTCCCAGGATGAAAAGTCTTTCCCCACATCAGGTGGTTGCTCAGGGTCCCCTGGAGGTGCTCCTGAGACCAAGCTGCACAGGGGACTGAACCCAGACCTCAGGCCTGGAGAAGCAAAGAGTTTAGGCCTTTGGGTCATCTCTACCAAGCCCTGAGATTGAAACTCTGAAAAACACATTTCCCCAACTCAGCAACTTCTCTTTTCTCTCCATAGATCTATAAGGGCTGGAGAGAGAGTACAAGGGTTACGGCTCTCACCTTAACAGTGGACCAACGTAATCCCGAGCATCCCCCCCTCGAGACCATCAGGAGCAGCCCCTGAGCACCAACCCAGGAGTACCCCAGCACACCACTGACTGTGCCAACTCCCCAGCCACAAAGAAAAACAAAACCAAAGCAGCCAGGCGCTGTATAAATCAACCTATTAACTTCAAGGAAGCCTCCCCAAGGGCCAGGGATAGAGCCCCGCAGTAGGGCAATTGCAAGGGCAGACCTGAGTTCAGTCCTTGGCACTGAAACACAGCTTCTCTTGTGTGCGACAAAAGCTACAACACACTGAACATACAGAAGTGCAGATTCAGCAAGGATATACAGTAATCACTTAGCTTTCTCAACCGAAAAGAAAGGCAGCAGATACTGAATCCCAGACTGTCAAAAAGAGTTAAAAGGCCTGAGGCATGAGCAGCTGGCAGGTCACACACACTCCCCAGCTCTGTGGTGTCATCAGCAGGAGGGCGAGAGAGCACGCTTGCTCCCCCAGAGTGCTGCTTTGGTTATCAATTTCCCATTACTCAGTATGTTTCAGTAATTAACCAGAAGTCTTGCCCATAGGGTTTTTTTTTAATATGTCGGCAATTCTTTTTTAATATGTCAAACAGTTAGTCGTTGGAGAATGGGCATTCTGATCACTGAGTTTGCTCTTTCAGCAAACTAATTCTATTCACTTACTATCTGGAGGTGAGGAGATTAAAGAGAGTGCTTTAAAAATTGACACTTGTTCCCCTTTTTGATTTTTAAGTTCAAGGAACAAAGCCCATCACTTTTTCACACTTCAATGATGGAACTGAGTGAGTTACCTCTCACAAAAGTGTGCTCTTGTAGCCTCAATATAGTCCTTGGATGCCCTGAGAGAAAAAAAAGGGCCAAGAACTCAGCTGGAAGAACAGACATTTCTGAATGATACTGTGAATGAAGCAGACTACTTACTCAAAACTTTGAGATAAAGATGTTCACAATGACAACAATTCTGTAAGATTAAAGGTTTTGGGCCAGAGTGCTGGTAGGGCATTTGTATGTGGGTTGACCTGGGTTCTATTCCCAGCATCAGGTATGGTCCCCTGAGCACTGACAGGACTGATTTCTGATTGCAGAGCCACCAGATGTGGCCCACAAAGCTTTTATAGGTGACTAACAGTTCTAAATTGGGGCCAGAGAGAGAATAAAGTGGGTAGGGTGCTTGCCTTGCACACAGTCAACCTGGGCTCAATCCCTGGCACCCTATATGACACCCTGCCAGGAATGACCTTTGAGGCCAGGGCCAAGGAGGAAGCCCTGAGCACTGCTGTGTGTGGTACCCATCAAACAATAAAAAGAAAGAAAGAAAACAGTAAAGGTTCATAACCTGCTTATAAGATATAAAACCCAGGTCAATTTGTCGACTTCTTTCAAAATGAAACATCTCTAATAATAGTTTAAATAATAATAATTTTTAAAAATTGTTTGTTTTTACTTTGGCAGTGCTCAGGGCTTACTCCCGGATCTACACTTAGTGATCACTCCTGGAGGGGCTCAGGGGGCCATGGGGAGGGTGGCACAGTTGAACCCAGGTCAGTCACATATAAGGAAAATACCCTACCCACAGTGGCATCTCACCAGCCCCCAAACTGATGTTTTTTTCTAAAAAAATAGGGATCACACCCAGTGGTGTTGAAGAACTCTACAGTGCCAGGGTTCAACCTGGGGGCCTCACATGTGCCAGGCGTGTGCTCTGCCCGTTGTGCTACATCCACAGCCCGTTACTGACTACAGACTGATTTAGCATTAGTTGCTTTCAACATTTCTTCTCCTGAAGAAAACCCTTCAGATTTCCAAGAGCAGTGACACAAAGAATGCTGATCATCCTTAAACACGAAAATAAGAGTGATGAGGCAGGGGAGCAGCTCAGCAGCAGAGCACTTGCCTTGCATGTGTCAGGCCCTGGGTTTGATCCCCAGCACCACAAAGAAGCAAACAAAAAAAGAAACAACAATATTGAAACCCAAGCACAAAAATGTGTAAGTCTGCAACTGTACCTCATGATGTCTCACTATTAAAAAAAATTTTAATAAAGAATAAAATAAAATAAAATGTATATAGAGACCAAAAAAACAGCAACAATATTAAGAATTGCATATTTTATGCTTTCTATCAGAAGTCAAAGAAATTCACTATAGCCTGACAGAAGCTCTGGGCAGGCGCTGACTTATGTACTTATTCATCCATCTAATTCAAGGGACTCTTCTGTTTCACGGATCTCATTATTTATCAACTGCTCAACCTCTCTTCACCCAGGTGAGAGGGGCCATCAAGAACAAATTTCCTAAAAACCAGACTCATTTATTTGTGGTTGATTTTCACTGGGAAAAAAATACAAAAACCCCAAAAAACCAAATACCTGCAATCTTCTATAAAAGTATATATAGTTAGGACAGTTCAATGGTCCCTAGTCCCTTGGCCAATGAAAATTATTTCTGACCCACATTTGCTGTGACACTAGCCAGTAAAAGAGGAAGAACATTTTGATATAAACAGCATTGTAGTGGTCACTAATACAAGTTGATTACTTTCTTTCTACCATGAGTACTTCGGTAGAAATTATCTTTGGAGATAATTTAAATGCAATTATCTTTGTTCATTTTACATATTAATTACTCCATGCCTGAGATCAAAAGAACTATAAACTGATTACAATGTAGGAAACATGTATAGTATTGGCATTTAAGTTTTGCTTAGAAACTTAAAAAACTAAAAATACAAGAAGGCAAAAACAAAGAATCTTTGCATAAAAATTTACCATGACTAGACATTAAATTTAACTGTAAGGAATCCCCGAAGTCTCTTGGTAAAAGCAGCACAATGCTCTTATTAGCAACTATAAAATCTTTCCCAAAGATTTTTCATTTCATTTCATCATCCTGTTATTCGTCGATTGCCTCGAGCAGGCCCCAGTAACGTCTCTTTCATCCTAGCCCTGAGATTATATTCAAGGCTATTTAGGAGAATGAGACCCATCATTGTTACTGGTATTTGGCATATTTGGTACGCCACGGGGAGTTTGCCAGACTCTGCCCTGTGGGCAGGCTACATTCGATAGCCTGCAAGTTTGTCCAAAGTAGGAATAAGACAATAAGATGTCATAAAAAAAAAAAAAGTTCTGTTAAGATGTCGCTCGGCCGCAAATGCGGCCACGCGGTTCCGGGATCTGGATTTTATAGTCTCTGAGTCTTGGCCGCTGATGGGATTACACGGCGCCAGGGGGCCAGGTGGTGGGTGTGACCCCCGCCTACTGGAATTTGGAGGATCTGGGTGGAAGATGCTCAACTCCAATTCGAGTAGGCTTGGAGGTCTCGGCCCCGGAACCCGCGTGGCTTTGTCCCTCTGCCAGTACCTTCATGTGTGCGGAGAGTGGTCTCAGCGTGGTGGTGGCTGGTCCTGGAGGTCTTCGGCTGCCGTAGCCCTGGTCGGGGCGGGGAGGAAAGCTCAACCCGCTCCCCTCCAAGGGACTCCGGGAAGGAACACCCAGGCGCGGGGGCAGAGACTGCACTGTTCTCGTCCGGGATCTGGATTTTATAGTCTCTGAGTCTTGGCCGCTGATGGGATTACACGGCGCCGGGGGGCAGGTGGTGGGTGTGACCCCCGCCTACTGGAATTTGGAGGATCTGGGTGGAAGATGCTCGACTCCAATTCGAGTAGGCTTGGAGGTCTCGGCCCCGGAACCCGCGTGGCTTTGTCCCTCTGCCAGTACCTTCATGTGTGAGGAGAGTGGTCTCAGCATGGTGGTGGCTGGTCCTGGAGGTCTTCGGCTGCCGTAGCCCTGGTCGGGGCGGGGAGGAAAGCTCAACCCGCTCCCCTCCAAGGGACTCCGGGAAGGAACACCCAGGCGCGGGGGCAGAGACTGCACTGTTCTCGTCCGGGATCTGGATTTTATAGTCTCTGAGTCTTGGCCGCTGATGGGATTACACGGCGCCAGGGGGCCAGTTGGTGGGTGTGACCCCCGCCTACTGGAATTTGGAGGATCTGGGTGGAAGATGCTCGACTCCAATTCGAGTAGGCTTGGAGGTCTCGGCTCCGGAAGATAAAAAGATCTAATAAACACATCTCACCTCTTCATATAGGTTGTTTGAGAAAATTTTAAATGTTCTTGAAGAAGCTGATACCTGTGCCTTCTGCTTAACTATTTCAGAAGGAACTCAAATCAGGCAAGCAACCAAAAGACAGAAATTTAGTGATATCCTAAAAATCAAGTAACTGCCTGGAAGACTAAACACTTTCATAGGCAAAAAAAGTATAAACTTTAAAAAAAAGCATATGCATGGACTCTGTGCAGGACATCAAAAAGTGGTTTGTTGTTGTTGTTGTTGTTGTTGCTGTTTTTTAATGCAAAATAATGTACACACGTTTCATCAGCCCAAAACTTTTCCTCACTTGTCCTGTCTTGATCTTCCCATTTTAGCCACACTGGACCACGTGCATCAATACCTAAGCTCCTTGGTAGCATGATGCGCGGTTACTCTTTCTGTGACCCAGCACCTCGGATGCCATCCTGTACCACATGAATGCCACTTCATATATATCTGATGAAAGAAGGTACCAAAAGGGGCTTGGATTTACTGGAAGTGAAGCACACATTAGCAGAAACAAGACTGACGATCAGGTGGTGATCCGTGAGCTTCCATTCCCCTTTCTGTCCCTCGGCATCCAGACCTCTCCACCATGTGACACCTGGGAATAACTCCATGCATTCTCAGGCGCCGCCTGACATTTGAGTTCATATGGGTCTAGAATAGCCTAAACTCACCCCTGATCATCAACAAATAATGTTCCTGTCAACCCTGGTGATATCTCAGGGTCAGATATATATATATATATATATATATATATATATATATATATATATATACACCACCTCAAACCCTTATGTCCAGCATTCTGCCTTCAGTAAAATACTTATTTCCAAATACCAAAACAACTAAGAATGGGTCACTCACCTCACACGTTAAAACTGCTGTCACTAAATAGGCAAGAAATAACAAATGTTGATGACGACAACAAGGAATGTGAAGCTTTATGCATAGTTTGTGGGACTATAAATTGGTACCATTGCTATGAAAACCGGTGCATTAACAAATTAAAAATGGATCTACGATAAGATTCAGTAAGTCCTTTTCTGGGAATATATCCCAGAAATTTAAAAAAAAAAACCCTAAGTATTGCAAAGAGATAACTGTAGCCCAAGCAAAAATGGAATCAACATATGACTTGAGAGGCAAGTGTTTATTGATAAAAAAGTAGATAAGAAAAATGAATATATGTGTATCTATACATGTATAAATATGTAAATGTGTGTATGCAATAAGGGAATATTACTTATTCATTAAAAAAGCAGCATAGGCATCTACAGCCACATGAACAGACCTTCACTGCTTTAACTTAGTGAAATATGTGAGACAGAGAGAAAAATGCTATATGATCACATTTTTACATCAAATCTAAAAATATGAACTCACAGAGACAAATAGGTAATTGGCAGAGGTAGGCAAAATAGGTGAGGTAGTCACCTACTGCATATCAGAAACCTGTTACAAGAAAGTTTTTATAAGTTGTCATAATGGGGGGAAAAAACAAACCCTGGGTCAGAAAGATATTACACTTGCCTTGCACACGGTTGACCCATGTTTGAGCCCTGGCACTCCATATGGTCCAAGTAAGTCATTTCTCCTTAGTCTTACTTCCCAATAAACTACTTTCACTGTGTCCAGGGACTCTCCTAGCAGTGCTTAGGGAACCAAAGTCCAGGGCGTACAGGGCAAGTGCTCCTGTTCTGCCTCTCCAGCACAACCCTGACACTTTACTTATTGTGATGTACTGTATGTATTTTTTAAATATATAATTTTCTCTTCTTCTAAGTGATAACACCATGAGGACAAGACACAGGTATCAACCTTACAAATCAACGAAGAGGAACTATCTGGATTTTGATCCCCAGCTTTAGTTGAATAGTTGACAAATAAAACTACATCTTGCCATTTGGGAAGGAATTAACTTTTGTATTACTTAGAATAGAAAATAAATGACTATGATAAGAACAAAAATAGACTAAGGCCTAAAGTCAGGCATAAACTGTTACTTTTGGTCAGAGTAAACTTTGACAGACTTTTTAATCCATGTTCACAAATCAGGATGGAAAATAAAATATTGTCGAAGCTTTGCATGAACCTCACAGGACCCCTCTCGGCATCTAAAACTCTGTTCTTGTTTTTTTTTTTTAAGAAAGTGAAAAAGAAATTAAAAAGGCAAGAGCAAAGAAAGAAAGGGGTACAGTAGTTCATTGTATTTTTCAATTCAAGAGGTCAAGAATAAAATATGACCCCAATTACTTGATCACTTCACTTTACATCCTGTTAGTCATCATTTTGCTTGAGCAGGCGCCAGTAACATCTCCATTCATGTGCTAGTGTAGCCCAGTGGCCTCTGCTCGCTCCAGGAACATGAAGAGCCTCAAACTGATCATTCGGGGTCTTAATGAAGAAGTCTGACCATCTCCTAGGTGGGTAGCCACGCGATCTTTTGACATCCTGTGGAATCCAGTCAGTAACCGCTCTAGTCCAGCTGTTGTCTCCAAATTGCATTACGTGTCCAGCCCATCTGATTTTCAATGCCTTGGCAAACGAGACAGCATTCCTGATTCTCAATCGTCAACAGAACTCCAGATACTCAAGCATAGCTCTTTCAATTCCTCTTTGGAAGACCCGAATAGCGTTCTCATCCTGTTTTCATAGCACCCTGGTCTCTGACGTGTATCTTAACACAGGCAGAACGGTGGAGTTTAAGAGTTGTGCCCAAACTTGGAGGTTCTTTGTCCTCTTAGCTATTTCTTCGACACTCTTGAAGAAGTTCCAAGCTGCTTTCTTCCTCCTGCACAACTCTGGTGCCAGGTCATTAGTTATGTTGAGTTCTCAACCTAGGCACACATAACTGTTGCATTTGGAGATGTTCGTTCCATTGAGAGCGAATGGAACATCAGGAATGAGTCCGTTTCTCATAAACATTGTCTTTGTGAGATTCAGCTGCAGTCTGACCTTTCCACGGTCAAAGTCGGCCATCATTTATGCCACTAATGTTTGGTGTTATTATAACGATGTCATCAGCAAAGTAGAGGTGGTATAGTTGCTGACCATCTATCTTCACTCCCATTCCTTCCCATTCCAGTTGTCACATGACCCCAATATGTCAAGGAAATAGGAATTGTCTACTTTTGAGCCTTGGCATGAATATTTGTGGATCTTCATGCTTCATAACCCACCATGTTCTTACATTACATTTTTATTTCTTAAAGATACACAAGCCCCCACATAGAACAGCCGGTTTTTTCCCCCTGATCTGCGCGGGACAGGAACTGAGCCCAACCTCCCAGCAACAAAGCTGAAGGTCTCCGGGAACTCTCTCCCCATTCCATTCAGGTACAGCCCGCCCCCAAGGCCTGGAACTCTCTCTGGGCATGCGCAGCTAGCTCGATCTCATAGAACAGCCGTTTTTTTCCCCTTATCTGCGCAGGACCAGAGCAGGGACTCTTTCCAGAGCCGTGGCCGCTAATGTGGCCGCAAAATATTCTCCCACTACATATGCCCTAGGAACCATAAGCTACCTTCTTAGATGGAATCTTCTCTATTTTAGCTCAGCCACTAGAAACTCAGGAGCCAATAACTCATAAGCCTATCTCAAGTCACACTGCATATCAAGCAGAATAGTAACAGTGAACATGAAGGACTAAACCACACTTGTCACAATGGTAAAGCAACGCAAAAGCCCACCAAACTTTCTTATTGAAGAGGCTAGCCCAGAAGACATCAACAGTACTGTAGTGTTAGACGACCTCTCTGACAAGGAATCAGAATGGAGCTACTTAGGATGCTTAGGGAACTAAAAGAAACAATGGAAAGCAATGCCAATAAAAGACTAGAGGATTTGAAGGCAGAAATGAGGAAAATGCAATCGGAAATGTCAGACCTGAAGAACCTGGTAGGCGAATTGAAAAACTCAGTGGAAGGCCTCAGCAGCAGAGTAACAGCCGCTGAGAACAGAATCAGTGAGCTCGAAGATGAAGTTCAGAGACTCTCCAGGAAAGAGCAGAAAATGGAAAAGAGACTCACTATTCGGGAACAGATGGCAAGAGAAGATCGTGACGAAGCCAAGAGGGGTAACATAAGAATTATTGGAGTCCCAGAGGGACAGGAAGAAAACCTTGATGAAGAAGAAACTGTCAAAAACATCATTGCTACAACGTTTCCAGAGCTGAAGAAAACTTGTGACCACATTCAGGAGGCCCAAAGGGTACCAGCTAGAAGAAATCTGAATAAAAATACCCCAAGACACATTCTGATCAAAATGACCAAAACTTTAGACAGAGACAAAATTCTGAAAGCAGCAAGATCGAAGAAAGAAATCTCTTACAAAGGAGCATCCTTAAAATTCACAGCTGATTTTTCTGATGAAACACTCATGGCCCGAAAACAGTGGTGGGACATAGTGAAAAAACTCAATGAAATAAATGTCTCTCCAAAAATACTTAACCCAGTGAGACTCTCATTCATAATAGAAGGAACAACACACAGTTTCACAGACAAACAACAGCTCAGGAACTTCATAGACTCCAAACCATGGTTACAAGAACAACTAAATGGGTTACTTTAAGGCTAGAAAGGCCCCTCAAATACACCAAATTTCAACAGAACAATGGGACAAAATCCCATAACAATAATCTCTCTCAATGTCAATGGGCTAAACGCACCAATTAAAAGACATAGAGTGGCAGGATGGATTAGAAAATTGAACCCAACATTCTGCTGCCTGCAAGGAACACATCTCAATAGTCAAACACAGACTCAGAGTCAAAGGCTGGAAAACAATCCTACAGGCAAACAGCTCCCATAAAAAAGCTGGGGTAGCCATCCTAATATCAGACCACATCGATTTCAGAGTGAAGAATGTCATAAGAGACAGTGAAGGCCATTTCTTATTGATCAAAGGATCCGTACAACAGGAAGAACTTACAATAATAAATGTATATGCACCGAATGAGAGACCAGCAAAGTACTTAAAACAACTACTCATAGATTTGGAAAAAGACATCAATAGCAACACAATACTAGTGGAAGACTTCAACCCCGCTTTGTCACCTCTTGATAGATCAACCAGACTCAAGCTTAGCAA